TTTTTTTTTTAAATGAAACTTGGCAGGAAAAGCCACTCCTTTCTCATGCTAAATTATGCACTATAGAGTTCAGTCCATGAAAATGTATTGTTCCAGTTGATGTAAATTGCATATAATGGGCAGATGACTCATGGCTGTGCTGACAGCCAGCATTGCATCCTAAAGGCACATACGAGTGGGTTGGCAGCAAAGGCATGATAAACAGGGCTTATCTCCCATTTCCCTCTTCATGTGACGGTTTTCTTCTCAGTGCTGGGCTACAGAAGTCCTGGGATGCCACTCTTTGCTCAGGTCACTTGTATCATGGTTGCAGTGGCCTTAACAGATTGTCCAAACTATTGCTCCCAATGTAGACTTTTGAACACAAGCCAAGTGAATCCTTTTCGATTTCCAAACAGTATTAAGAGGCTTGTTTAAAAAGCAGTAACTTGACGTGCTTCATTGCTTTTCTTGCAAACACCAGTTCTTTTAAGTCTGTAGTATGAAATATTATTGCATATGCCAGGATTGCAGAGTTGCAACTGGTTATTGATGCTGCTGCTCTCCATTACAGACCAGCAAGTCTTGCTGCTTCTCTCAGTGTACTCACTGCAATGACAACCATTATATGGTGGTGCTAAGGACCGAGGGCAGATCTGATCATTTAGCAGGATTTTAAGGTCTCATGTAGGCTTTTTGTAGTGGGAACAAGCCATTAGGATACAGTTCCTGTGGTTTCCCCCACACCCTGTTGCAAAATTAATTGTGGGGCATGTGGCAACACAGCACTTGAAAGTGGGGAGCATCATCTCATTGCCTTCCTGCGCTCCCAAGTCTCCTGTAGCTGGATGCTTGACTTTAATTTTGTTGGATCGGGGATCAGTTTTAGTTCTGTAGCATCTAATGCCTATGACCCAGCCCTAACCTGGAGGCATTAATGTGATGTGACTGGTACATAAGTATTTGGCCCAACTGGGAAGCTAAACCAGTTTGGAATGCAGATGAGGAGGGATTTCTGCCCTGCTGCAAAACCTTTCAAGGCTGATGTGGAGAATCCGGCTTTGCACTGGAGCGAGTCCAAACCCCTCTTCCCACTCTGGTTGTGAAGTACGAGGTAAATAAAAACATAATCGTGATTTTGCGGAAGGGCTCTGGGAGGCTTTAGAAGAGAGGAAGATGACAGCTATGGAGTGGGAATGTCCAGAACTACAGTAGCATTTGTTACGCTACTGGCAAGAAAGTTTACTCCAGCTTTCTGTAACTTCATTTAAAATGGGATATAATTACTGTTTATGCTACAGCCTAAAGCTGCTTCCTGTTTCCAGTGTAGTAATTATGCCAGAGGCATACCATTTATTCCGAGTGTATCAGCCCAGGATATGGTCATTACCACATTAATAGGAAGTACCTTCAACTTGTTATACTTGGCAATAACTATATCCTGGAGTAACAAACCTCTCGCCTTTCAGCTTGCGAGTTTATAAGCATCTCCTGATGAGAATAAACAGGAAAGCGCTGTTCCTCTCTCCTGCCCCATTGCTTTAAATGCCATTAATTAACCTTAAAGACGTTTTTAAAGGAGGACCTCATTGGAAGACACTGCTGGTGACACCAGTATCTGCAAAAGAAAGGGATCTGTGTTCACCCAGTGCTGTTGTAGCGGGCAGCACCATGCCGGTATGCTGGGGTGAGGAGTGGGAAAGCTGGACGTTGCCTCTGTGCTACGGTAACTCCAAAACGGAGTCCGTGTCCCCAAACGGCTTGTTGCTGATCTGTTTTGCTGCTCCGGGGTGGAGTATACCACGCTGGGGTGAGTAATGGCCTTCTGGAGGGTTGGTCACCGGGAGGAAATGCCACATCAAGTGGTGATTTAATTCTGCAGCTTGACTTGGAGATTTGGCAGTGGCCGGTGTTGGCCTCCTGGATTTCTTACTCTAGCAACTACTTGCTTTAAGTTCTTGAACCAGCTCGAAGAACCATATTTACTGAGTTTTGTTTCCGAGAGAAAATATGTCAATTTTAATAAATCCAAGCTAAAGTTAAAACGAAAACAAGCCCCTCTGCATTGGAGGGGGTTAAGGGACTGGACTCCTTTGGCTTTTTTTTTTTTTTTTTCTGTGGGACTCAATCTGAGTGCTTGTTTCACTACTTTTTTGCACTCCAAGCCTGTCCAGCTTGCTCTGTTATGGTAGGATGGTCTGTCTGATGGTGTTGAATGCATGCTGCTTTTCTGGCCGCTGTTGCTGTGTTCGTGAAACCTGCCTGACTGTTTTTGGACTCTGAAGTGCACGAGGGTTGAGACTTCATCTGTAGTTCTGCTTAAAAACTTCCCTGGCACTTCTTTCGCTGCTGAGCGGGGTCTGCTTTGGGTCTCGGTGAGCTGCACGCGCCGTCGTGCTGGCAGGGGCAGTTGGAAAGGCCGTACAGTCCTGCACGGCCCAGCTCACTGGGGAAACGCTCCAGCATCCTGGGCTGCCTTGGAGTGCAGATGGAAGAGGAAATTACTGTTACTTACGTCCGTCTTCAGTAAGAGGAACAACAATGTCAAGACGCAACCTCGGTGCATGCTGTTCCTTTCCCCATAACCTGGAACCGGCAGGCAGCTCTGAAAGGGCCTGATGCAGGCTGGTTGTCGCAGGAGAGGCGACTGTCTGGCTGAACATTTCCAGGAGGATTGGAGATGTTCCTGAACATCCTCTGTTCCCTCTGAACTAGTGCTGGTGTGAGGGGGGGATTCCTGGAGATCGCTGCACCTGTGCCAAGCTCCTTGGCTAGGAAGCAGGAGGCTCGGGCGCTGTGCTCTCGTAGCTCCACGTGCTCATGGGGTTGGATCCCAAAGACATCTTCTGCCTAAATATTGGCAGGGAGCTTTTCCATTCCCTCACTGTTACAGACCGTGAATGCTTTGTGGTAGGGCAGGAGTTAGGTTTGTGTATCACGTGGCCATTAACTCTCTGTAGAGTTGTATTGGATTTGGCCAACGGATGCTAATGGGGGAGTAGCATAGCTGCACATGTAATGTTGTGTTGAATCCCTTCAGGTCCCTCCATCTACCTAAGAGTCTTCATCCACTGCAGTGCTGATGCTTTCTGCAATGGCTGCAGCTCTTAATTGCAAGAAGAAAACAAAATAATGCTTCTTGGAGGGAAGAATGATGCTTCTCGTCCCTAAATGTTCCTTCACATATTTGGGCAATGTAAAATGAGGAGGACTGGAGCTGACTGGCAGCCATTGTTTTATGTTTGTCTGCTTGTTCCAGTATCGCTGTCACAGCTGCTTACTGCTTTGAATCCCATTCTGCTCTTAAGTCAGCTTCTCGAGGCTATCTCGCCATGCAACTTCAGTGTTTCCATATAGATCTGTCAAAGTGTTCTTGATCGTTAAAGCAAACTGTATTTTCCTGTACTTGCTCTTACACTTGTGCTTCAAACAGGATTAGGCTTTGAGATAGTCATTGCTAGCAAGAGCTGTGCCTTTGGCAGGAATTGAAATACTTGTTTGAAGGCAAGAGGCCGCTGTCAGCCGTGGTTTGCTGATAAAGCAATCTCTAGCAGGACTGTCTTGTGGACAGTCTTTGTTCACTTTTGTTCTGTGTGCTGGGCAAAGCCTTACCATCCCAATGTCCTATTGTATTGGGAAGAATCTAACAAATGCTAATGCTGGAGAGGATGTGTTTAAAATTATCCTGGCCTGGAACTGGCAGTAGCCCAGGCTGCTCTTCAGAAGAGCAAAGCCAGGAAAGAGGAGATTTCCAGGGCCTGACCAGGGCTCTTTGGCCAGGCCATCAGTTCTGTTCTCGTGATGCACGAGGGAGGAGAGGAAAAAATAGCTTTTGACTTTTTTCTTTGCTTGCGGAAGGATTTGGAATATTTGCAGAAGGCAATGGAGGGACAAAGTGCTTGTTGGGGTTTTTTTTTTTCACCCTCTTTTTCTACTCTCTTCCCTGGAGGTGGTTGCCATTAAGGTGAGGTGCGTTGTGAGTTGCCATCTATTCACTGGCATCCGTTCCCCTGGCAGTGGCTTTGCTTTCAGCCTTTCTTGAGGCAGCACCTGCATGTGCTCCGGGTCTGCGTGGTTTTGTAGCCAGTACAAGCTTAGCAGCCGTGATGACGACAAACATGGGTGTCAACTGTAAAGGTGCTTCTCTTGGCTTTGTGTGGGGAGCAGCCTGTGAAAATAAGCTGTAAAACTTCAAAGCCTGTTTGGAGTGAAGGTAATGCTCCCCTTGAGGATGGAGAAGTGCTGCTCTTAACCTAACAAACCTGAGCTTTTTTGGGATGGAAAGGGAAGGTACAATAACTTTCATAGCATGTGCTGGATGTTCTTTGACTTTGGTCGCAAAAAATCAGGGAGACTTTTTCGCTGAAGTTGGGACTTGACAGGGTAGTTAAGTGGCCACACTTTGCCATTTTCACCATCTCTGTTGTACTGGCTCTGTTCAGCTGACCCTCGGTCATGTGCTTCAGCTCACTAAGCCATGAGCAAACAATGTTTTTCTTCTGACTGGGTTTTCACCAGTGTATGGGGCTAAACTGACTTTCTGAGGAAGCATATGAACTCCTCCAGGGCTGGTGAGCTGCGAGACTTGGGGCTGAGGAAGAACAGGATACGTTCAGTGGCAGTGAGACTCAATCAACTCATCATTGCTTGAAGTTTCCCTTACTGAAAGGGTACGTGACTGTCAGACCAGTGCCAGGTTCTGTTTTCACATTTTTAGCTAACTTAACCTGGGACAAGTGACTTTCCTTGTATTTTTGAGGGTACCTTCTGGTAAGTTTATCAAATTTTTTTGTGTGCATAGTACTTAAAATGCTACTAGCTATTAATCACACAAATACCATTTAGTGTGTCTCTACTGAAGTTACAATTGGTGTTAAGTCCCTACTGTTTTTGCATGATTGGAAGCAGGAGGTGCTAATGCAAGAAACGAGGTGTAAGAAATAATAACTTTTTGATCTATTTTTGTTGATTGAAGGAAAGATTCGATGACTTCCACTTATTATTGCTTTATCTTTCTGCAGGGATGTGAAAGCAGGAAATATTCTTCTTGGAGAAGATGGTTCAGTGCAAATTGCAGGTAACTTTCCTGGTAGCTTGAATAAACTTTAGGCCTAACCGTGTATCCAAAGAAATGGTTTAATGATCAAGAGAAACCTGCACAAAAACATTAGCTTCAAGAAGCCTCATAGTTCTTAAACCAAAACCAACAACACCAGGAAACCCAACAATAAATAAACCACAAACCAAAACAAAAAAAATAACCAAACTCAACCCAGAGTTTATTACGTCTTGGTATCTTAAAATACTGTTCTTTGGAATAATGACAATCAGCATGAATAAATCCTTTGACTGTTAAGTCCTCAGAATCAACAGATTAGATAAAATTTTTGCCATACAATAGTCGCATTTTTAAAACAGAATTAAACCAGAAAGCTCATAGGCTTGGAAGTAAACTGCACAGACCTCACTGATTTATCCTCGATGTGGAAGGTGCCTTTCAAAAGGACTGTGGAGAGCAGTGGGTAGATTCAGCAGAAGGCAGTTGGTGCGTCTGACGCTGAAAGTCACTGGCGACTTTGCCCTAACCAAAGGTCTGCTGCTCAAACTGCTCGTGTGGATGCTCCCTGGCCCGCTTCAGTTGAACCGAGCGGCAGAGTGAGTGCTTAACCGACGGCCCCAACCCAGCCCAAACTGGGCTGGACTGAAAGTCTTGGAAGCAGTTGTGCAAGCTGAGAGACAGGGTAGGGAAGACTGTTGGCAGTTGCTTTAGCGAATGCAGATGTACCTGGAGATGTCTGTTGTAGCCACTGCTGTCACAAGCTGCATCAGTGCAGGTGTGTTGAGCCCCTGGTGTGGATGGGTTGTATGTCTCTGGAAAAGGGAGGTGTGTGGTTTTGTTGTGGGGGGGTTTTGTGGGGTTTTTGGTGTTTTTTTTTGGGGGGGGGTTGGGGTTTGTTGTTGGCTTTTTGTTTTTTGGTTTGGGTTTTTTCCCCCATACTACTCTTCGGGTCTTTTTTTTTATACATGTTCCTACAGACTTCACTCTTCTTTCCAGAAGTCAAGTATTATTATTATTGTAGACTCTTAAGTAAGACAAGATTTTTGGAGACTACATTTAGACCCTGGGACTTGTTTTTCCTCTTCTTCCCAGCGTGCCGTTTTGCTATCCTGAGTACAATTCCTCTCCCACTGTCCTTCCCCTCAGGACTGTGGTCTTCCCATGAATCTTGTGGTGCTTTCCAGTCTTTGTGCCACCTCTAGCTGGAGGGCAGAGCTCGCATCTGGTCTTGCCATCATAGCAAACATCTTTATACTTGTTCAACTCTTTCAGTCCCATAGTTAAATGGAAAGTGTCATATCTGTCTGTGATAAGGCTTTTTTTTTTTAATTGCCCTGTCTTGCTGGTGGAGGCACAGCAGTGGGTCACGCCAGTGTGCTGGGGGTTAATAGACAGGGCTTTGCAACTGAGAGGCAGTGACTGTGGTGTCAGGCAGAAGTGTGTGTTCGTACGGACTCCTTTGGTATATCTGTGCCTGGATTTGCCTTTGGGAATGAAAGGTGTAGATATGCCACCAGGAGGCAGAAAGCGTTGCAATGCACAGGGTTTGATGTTTTGTTACAGGTAGCTCTTGGCCCTCTGTAGAAGGCCATAAGCCCTTTTAGAGGATGCAACACCTAAAATACAGGACTTCTGTTTAAAACCTGAAGTTTGCTTTGTTTTCCCTTTTAAGTCTCCCAGTGTTCTTAATGCCTGCTGTTGTATTTCTAATGAAGTGTAAATAATTCATTCCCTGTGGCAGCGGATGGAAGATGTAGGGAGTGGCTTCTAAAATGCTCAAAGGAGCAAAGTTGATATAGTGAAATCCTACTTTTTTTTTTTCCATAACAGGGCCAAGATGCAACGTTTTGGATTTGTAGTTGTATGGAGCTTTAGATTATGTTCTGGGAGAGGATGCAAATAGCTGTTGCATTAGAGCAAAGAACTGTTATTCCAAGCGTTTCCGTGCCAGCCTAGCAGAATGCTGCTTGGGTTTCCCTTCCAAAAGGGTGCCAGGGCTTCGCTTTTTATTTGTTAAGGCTCCTTCACTGCTAGTAGGTACCTGTTCATGTATTTTTTCTGCTGAATAATTTTTAGTTGATAGGTATTTTTAAGGTTGACTAGTCTTATATGAATTTCAGAGGATTTATTTTGACTGAGATTTGTACATGTTCCTCTAAACCAAACTGTCTACTGGTGGTTTAGATGTGCACTATTTAAATGACGAAATCCATCTCTCTGCATGTCCTGCGAAAGCAACGTTGTGAGATGTGCGAAGTACCCTCTGTACAAATTCTCTCTTTGAGCAGCAAAAGGACTGAGGCTGTTACCTCTCGTGAGACACAGCGGAGCGACTCAACTCTACCGCGGTCAGCAAGTTCACCACAGTGGCAGGAAGCAGTTTGTTTCTGCGAAGGCAGCTGATGACTTGAGAGAAACAACAATAAATGAATGACTGAATGCTAGAGAGGAGCCTGACCTGGTCATAACATGACATTTTGTTTCTGTGGGAATTTCTGACACTTAAGCTTCCTCTCCTCCTGACCCAGGATGAAATAGCAAAATTTCGTGTGAATTTTTTGAGGAGAAAAAAATACTGGAGGCAAACCAATCCCAATAAAGTGAGTTTTGTGTCAGCGAGATCAAAGCACTTGCCTTTGACAATAATATTAATGCATATTATGAATAATTCTGTTGATCATTGAGTGCTTCAGTTATCAGCTGGATGACATCACTGTGTTCCCATGAAACAAATGTGTTTAAGTTACACCACACACACACAAAAAGACTGATTAGCTGTGGAATGAAGCCTGAGGGTTAGAGTGAATGGGGCACCTCCCTGGAAGGAACTGGTTTGGTGTACATAAAAAATGCAAATAGCATTGCAGGAAAGAATGACTTCAGTTCTTTTATAATGACTCCTTTCCCTTGTGCCATCCCTCTCTCAAAACTGCCTGTGAACAGTTGTTAAGGTGGTCTTACTTAATGTTTGGCCTTTGCAGCCTTGTGTTCCTGTGTCTTTCCTGCTAGACACAATTCGTGATTCTTGTCTCGGAAGAAATGTACATCTTAAATGTAAATGTAGGGAATGTAAATCTCAAACTGGAAATCTTTTGAGGAAAAAAACCAAAGCTGCTTTCGATGTTCAGAAAAAAATGCTCGACCCTGTGGTGGAGGAAACCCGGCTGCTGGGCTGTACCTCCACATGTCAGTGAATTTAATTACTTGGGAAACTTTTTATATAGAACTCGTGGCAGTAATTTTGCTGCAAGTTTATACAGTTCTAACCAGTGCAAACTAAAGCCTCTTTTGTTAATTTGGGCTGTGCAATTCTGTGAAGGCTGAACAGAAAAAGCAACTTGGTGGAGGTGTGTTTGATGCTTCTCAGGTTCTGTTTGTAACTCTGAATTGGTGGTTGTGCATCTGACGGGGAAAGCTGCTGTGCGAGCGCTTCAGCTGAGGTGGGCTCAGGTAAAGCAACAGAGGAGAAATCTGTGAGCTCGGGGGCATTTGCAGAAAATAGGGATCTAAACAGTCCTCTAATGGCCTGCCCAAATGCCCAGCTTCAAACTCCTCCCCACGTCCTGGGACTTGGTATTTTTACTCATGGCTCTGTCTATTTTTAACTGTGTAGCTCCTTTTGCTTTCAAAATGTGCATCCACTGAACCAAGGCATAAAATTGTCTTTAACACATCCAGCTGACCAGTGAGACCTGAATTGAGGCTCTTTCCTTCTATCTTATTTATTCCACGCCCCCCACCCCACCAAGGGCACTGGCTCGGGCTTGTGGCTTGGCACCAAGTTTTTGGAGCCTGCTGCAATTCAGAGTATCGCTTTCTCACTTTGAAGTTTTCCCTGCACATTGAATTAATCTATTTTCTGGAGAGAGCATGACTCTT